TCTGCGTACGTATGACCAGATTATCAGCTATTAGATTATCAAATTTGAATGGCTTTGCGTTGTACATAGAGATTACTCTGTACATGTGTAAGGCTATTCATTGGGTACTCTTTATGGTGTGATTTTTCAGTACTTATTCAGTTCTCAGATTTCAGATTATGGAATTCAGTTTTCAGAATAAAGCTTTCAACTTCTAGTATTGAGCAGCAGCAATATTTCATAGATTTTCATGAATATGAAATTCTTTATAATTGTTATACCTTACATATACTTATCTAGAATTTAGAACAAAGAATTTTATGATGAAATTATGTTTAGTTTTAAAAGTGTTACCAGATTTCAGAATTTCTCAAAGTTTTGATAGAGCAAGAATTTTCAGAATATATGCATAAAAGAAAAATATGTTTATTTGTAAATTATCCACTCACTGAGCTTTAAGCTCATATATTTTTTTCACCTTTTTTCTTTAGCTGACAGAAAACAAACAAATTGAGCAGTTTTGGAGCATGTCAAACCACCGAATTGAGCCACGCATCATAGGTTGTATGATATCTTTATCAGATTATACATTGTGTTCTTTTGGGATACACATAGGTTAAATCAGAAAAGTTCATTATGGGCTCACTAGATATTTGGTATCTTTTGTACTTTTGAAGATTATTGGTTGTAAAGCAAGTAAATATTGATTTCCTAGCATTTTATTTGAATAGTTTGTATTTTTGAGGGACTAGCATACCCTGATTTTTATTATAGGTATTGATTTGAGGAAAATTGGTTATTGTTTAGGTGGTTTTAGTTCGTATTTTAGAGGAAATTCTGTCAAAATTCTGTTAAAAATATTTTTCAGTCAAGCAAGTTAAAGTTGTTTTGGTAGTGGGTCCGACATTTAACTGGCATCTACCACCGGCACACGACATGTGTCGAGTCAATTAGGTTGAGTCGGGATGGGTCATGTCAGTGCTAGATTCAAGTTTCGCGACATTCTCGACTGGATCAGTAAGTACTTTGTGGGAAATAGCATTTTGATCTAGTCTGGCTCCCTGCAAGCTAGCTCTAGCACGAGACTGATCAGATGATGACGAGTTCAGATGTCCAGCTGATGAGTTACTCGACTCATTTCTCCTCTTCATCAAGTAGAATCCCAGAGTTTTGCTGAGCTTTGAGTTTCTTTGAAGGATGAAGTTGTGGGGGTGGACAGAGCATGTTCAACTTCCCAAGGGCTTACTGTGTTCATATTCTGCATAATTTCATGTTGATCCCATGTTACCTGCAGCCGAGAAATCATGAAAAATTGGAACCAATCTAAAAATTAGCATTCTTATTTTCATATTTAAACTTTATTAGCGCCAAGATTTTCACTGATCAGATCATAGGAAGACTAAATGTGTACAATGACCAGATCATTTACGTATGCACAACAAAATGCAAATAGTAATATAAACACAATCGTCATCGACTGCATTCAACAGTTCTAGAAGTACAAATTTTGATCGGTGACATATAAATTTTAGTGTGACACAATCATTGCAAATTATTCGAAGAATATTTCATAGAAACCAAACACCAACATCTTCGCGCTGTAATTTATGATCCAACCAAATTACATGCGTGACCTAAACACTTGATTCCAATGAAAATTATAACAGAGAGCCTTAGCTATTAAATTGGATCAATCAAGTCGAGCATACATTTACACTGAACCTCTGACAAAACGTATAACATTAAGCATAAGAAATTTTGACTAGATCTCCTACCAAAAAACTACTACATAACGTATCGCATATTCAAATCAAACACAAGAAATTACCACTTTTCAACTGCGAGAAGAAGAATAATTACCATCATTCTCCATAATTCAGAATCACATAAATCAAAGATCGCATACCTTTTCAATTCAAGAACTTGTTTAAATCTTCGTGTCAGTATACCAAAACACGATAAATCTATAAAATTATCATCAATGAATCAATAGCATTGCAGTGAAAAAAAACAATAGTATAATTGAAAACAAGATCTAAAATGAATAAGTATGATTGTTAAAGCTTGAGGGGCGTGTTAATAACAATATCTAAATGAAATCATTTAACAAAAACACGATTCAATCTTACTTTTTGAATACACAAACTATTTCCAACTAGTTAAATAATCTTACCAAAAAATAATTCAAAACTCAGTGATCATAAAAATTCACAAACTATATACAACTTAGGGAAAAAATAACTATTCAACTTAGTACTATAATCTTATTACCGCCCATAAAAATGGCCAAGCATCCATATGTATATATACCTGAAGCATGCGCCAGAGAGAAGTAAACCCCGTGCCGTGGCTGTCACGATGAGAATCGATGTCGGTGATAGCTCCCTGAAACCAAGCCACGGCCGAGAATTCCTGAGTCTCCACTGTCATCTTAACCTGCATGTTCAATTCCCAGGAAAATTCCATCGAATAATCCACCTTGTCTGCACTCACTACAAAATTTTGTATCCGCACCATTATACTACTTTGAAAGGGATTTCTTCTTCTACCATCGTCGGAAAGTTCCACTGATCGTTGTTTTTCATGGGACACGCCCCCCTCTGAAGAGCTCATTGGTGGATGTTTTGGGCATGAAAACCACAGAGTCTCCGGCAGCGAGCTGTCTGTTGTTGGTAAATCTATTCCAGCCGGTGGTGAGCATGTGAAGGGGCAGGGTCCCATGGTACACATGGAGAAACTCCCATGCAAAGTTAAAAATGTCTTTAATTACCAAGTTTTGGTACGTCGGTGGCTCGACGGCCAAATCAAGCGGAGGGAAAATAAGATCGGCACAGTAACTTGGAACAAAAAATCTCCCTTCATTTTTGGTATCGGATGGAGTTAAAATCTTAGCGTTCACGTATATCCATAAAATTATCAACGAGGAATTGATAGGCGGTGCAACGACAACACAATAATATTGTTGAATAGAAGAGAATAAATATGATTGTTAAAGCTCAAGGGGCGTGAAAATAACAATATCTAAATGAAATTATTTAACAAAAACAAGATTAAGTCTTATTTTGTGAATACACAAAATATGTCCAACTTAATAAAAATAATCTTATTAACAAATAATTCAAACTCTTTGATCATAAAAATACATAAACCAGAAAACTATTTATTCAACTTAGTACTACAAGCTTAATTACTACCACCCCTAAAAATGGCCAAGAATCCATATGCATATACACATGAAAACCTCGATGAAGAGGTCATTGGTGGATGTTTTATGCATGAAAACCATGTCGTAGATGTGACGATGAGAATCAACATCGGTGACAATTCTCTGAAATCAAGCCAAGCGCTGAGTATCCACTTAGATCTTAATTCACTTGTTCAATGTCCAGGAAAAGTATATTGAATTATCCACCATGTTTACACTCAGTAAAAAAATTCTGCATCCCCACCCTTGGATAATACACTGCCTTCAAAGGGATTTCTTCTTCTACAATCGTCGAAAATTTCCATTGGTCGTTTTTTTCTGGGACACGCCCCCTCCTAATCTTGACAAAGAGATCATTAGTGGATGTTTTGTGCATGAAAACAACAAATTCCCCGATAACGATTGTTGAGAAATCTAACCTCGTGTCGCGGTTATGTGACATTAAATAATAGATCAAGTTATATGTAGGGATATGAAACTCATGTTATTAGAAATAACATTTAATGCCATATAAACAAGATGATTCATCATCGTGACGGCAAACAATAGACTCTTTATTTTATTATAATGTTTCAATTAAATTCGTATTTAAAAATAAATAAGTAAAGGAGATGATAAGTGGGGATTTTTAATCTCCATTTCAAACTTCCCGAATCTACTTATTTTTAGAATAATGCCACTTGTAATTGATAGATCGTCGCCTTATTAGAATTTTAGCTACAGTAAAGTCTATTGACGTCATTGTCAACTATTATAATATGTTAAAATCAATGACGTCACTTCCAACTATTGTATTATATTAAAATAATAAAGAAAATGTTTTGCTTACAAATAGACCACACTCTATATTCGAATTCCAGCAACTCCAAAAATTATCAAGAAAGCAAAATTTATTTTGTGTGAATACAAACGAATATTGTTTCGACGCTATTTAACAATTCCAATGCGAGCAGTTAACTCTATACTACAAACCCCCCCCCCGGGGCCCCCCAACCGATTCAATTAAATGACAATAATACCCTCAGCTACACAATAAATGCACTTTGTTTGGAATCATCTGAAAAAAGAAGCTTTGGAATAAGAGGAGGGTAAAATGGGGAATTAATCAAAGGTTGCGCGTTCAAAAAGAACTTGGGATCAGATTTGGTACCTTAATTTGTCCGATTGCGGATGAAGTGTATACGTTGTGCACGACTCCTACGTGGCAATTCGAAATTCAGAGTGCACGGAATTTCATGCACTGGATTCCTGGTATTGAGCTTGTCATTTTATTTCTTTAATTCTCCTTTTATTTTTCTTTTGAGCATTTCAACTCTGCATTTGTCAAAAGATTGACAATAAGGTTAAATTGATGTCTATAATTACATTTATGTTCAAATAAATTTTTAACTTCTAAGCATATATAGCCTATAGGTATGGTCCCTACATTCTCTATATCTAGAGCTATAACAATCGAAATTTGATTGTGCTACGTATACATGATACGTTTACATAATAATCTACATATACATAATATTGTGATATTGATTTGGTCTAAATTTCTTCCGAAAAAATATATATTTAACCACTCTTTTTCACGGTATGTAAATCATTATATATTTGCTTAAGTACAAATAGCATTATTCTTCAATAATTATACATGTAATCCCAACTTGTCAGATCTTTAAAAATTAACTAAAATTTCAATCATCATTTTTAAACCAAAAATGCTATAAAAGGATAGAAAATAAAAAAGAACAATTAATCAAAATAATTCCAACACGTCATTATAGAAATCCATAAAGACAACAGACGGAAAGAAAAACCAGCAGGCAACAAATCCCACCTGTTATTTCCCTAGTTATTTCAAGACTCGACAAACATCAAGAAAGCCTTAAAACACAGTCTGGAATACTGCCAGTAGAGATGACTCGTAACAACCTGGACCTAAGCGAAAAGCATTGTTAACCACAAACCAAGCTTGAAACAGTTCTTAAGATAGAAGTAATAGAAAGAAATGGAGGAATCCTAGAGCATTTGTCGGGCTGAGTCGCTCATTCATCTTCGGTTTCAGACTCAGCACTCTGTAGCCACTCCACGAATGGCTTGACATTCTTCCAGATAGGGAAAGCCTTATTGCTACCAGTCAAACCCTTCTGATACCACTCCACAATGTACACTTCTTCCAACATATCATTATCATATAACTCTTTCAGAACCAATGCCACCTCCTTCACTGCCTCAGCATTTGCTTTTCCACAGAAAGACTCGATGGCATGAAGTAGAATTGTTTGTGTGTCCTCTCCCTGATCTGCAGCTGCAATGTACTTCATTTTCTTAACCACCTCTTTAGAGAAACCTTTACCCAATCCATTAAACAAGGCTTCGAACAAGGCATCAAACACCTCTTGATCAGTGCCAGATAAAGAACCCAAGAAAGCCTTAAGTTGGGATGCAGAGGCACCTTTATCTAGAAATTCTCTGATTTCCTGAACAAGTTCTGCATGAGCATTAGTAGATTTAACCGTGTTCCCATTAATCTTGTGTTTTTCTTCGCGTGCTGGGGAGTTTTTACCCGATTTTGGTTTCTCTTCATTGGTTGAGATCATAACCATGCTAGCAGTGACAGAATTCAACTGCTCTCTAATACTTTGTCGAGCTGCTTCAGCAGATGTGTCAGTCTGCCACTGTACATCATCGTCAGAGTCCTCACCAGCCTCCACATCATTGTCATCTGCCTGGCTACCTGTCGGAGAATGCTGCTCATCAGAAACATTGGCTTTCTTCCTGCTAGACGATTTGGTGGAAACATCCTTCGAACCTCCAGACACACCTTTCTTCTTGGCAGCATCTTTCTTAAGTTTCTTCTGCTCCTCATCAACTGCTTCTCCTTCCTTAAGCCGCTCTTTCTCAGCCCTCCTCATCGCCTTTTTGTCCTTTGATCCTTTCTTTGCCTCGGGAGGGTTCTTAAGAATGAATGTTGTGAGCTTGTCCCTCATGTCAACATCTGAAATGAAACCACAGGCAGCACATTTGAGATTGATCATTTGTGATTTTGAGATGATGATTTCAGTTTCAGGATTCCCACAACCATAACACTGGACATACTTCTTGATGAAGTTCTCAAGAAGTGCAGCAAGTTTTGAAGTGTCATGAGCTCCATTCACATGTGAAGTACCAGTTTTCTCATCAAACTTGGATTGTGCTCCTAGTTCATTGCCAAAATACTTTGTTGTGTAAGCAGCAGGCCTGCCCAGGGCCTTTGCAATGTCAACCATGTTGACCAAATTGGTCTTGATGCCATTTCCACGACCTTCGATTTTTGTTATCATTTTAGGCATCTTATACCTGTAAAAGGCATCATCTTTGTTTCCGGCACCAATATTTTGCAAAGCCATTTTGTCCCTAAAAACAGGATACGATCTCTATCAAGTTAATCAGAAAGAAAGCAGCTGGTTTTCTTCAACAAGGATTTCTTCAGTATGGTGAATGTTACTACCAGAAGGAAAAGGAAGCATAAATTGGCAACCCAGAAAATGTATGTTGTATCCTTCGAGCTCAAGATGCATGCAGCCAAGTTCGTGAGCAGAATTACTATCCTTATATTTTGATGGAGGACAGTACTCTCCAAGCAACCCAATTACCAATAAAAACTGAGAGGCCTGTTCAGACATAAAAGAATCTTCGAACTTAATGCACTCCACTTTGATTGCTGCAAATGCCGCAACTTTAGCAGCCAAATACCTGCAATCATGCATTTGAGTAATTAGGAAGAACTGAAAGAATAAATGAAATATCGACATAGTATGTGCATGTGGCACAAAAACGTAAGCTTGTAAATCATAATGACTTTTAACATTGCAACAAAATACACCAAATATATTCATCTCAAAATAAACTATAATCAAATACAGGTTATTCAAAGTTGGCAATGAAAAATACTGGCAAAGAATTCCCATTTCGTACAAAATCAGAATAACTTTCATATTCCTTTCTGCTTTCAAAAATTACTTGGTTACAAAGATGATCATACTGAAGTTCAAAAAATCCAAAAACGATTTTATCTCACAAATGACAGCCCCACAAGTGTGCTAATCATATAGATTTATAAGAATTTATCATACCGTCCTATAGTTTTAGGCAATGTTTAAAAAGGCGCAATCAAATACCGGTATGTTTATCCTTCATGAGGCAAGGCGTTAACCTCAAGGCGTTTTGAGGCTTAAGTCTCACAATAAACTAAAAATGTCAAAAAAATATATATATATTAAAATTCAAAATAAGTTCATAATACATCTAAGCCCTCATTTGGTAGAAACTAAAATAATCTAAGTCAAAATCAACAATTACCCCCCGTTTGGTCCCCATTAATTTTCATTCCATTACATTTCATTTTCCTCTCTCCTATTTTCAACCACACAATCTTCCATAAAATAATATTACACGTAAATCGAAAACTCTTCATTCTTTTTCAACCACTAATTTTTCAAAAAATACTCTTCCACCCATTAATTTTTTCACAAAATGGGAGCCAAACGGGGGCTTAATTTCAACTACATATTTTATGGGTCCTATGACTTTTCAAAAGACATTTCATTAACTCTTTATCAAAATCTACTAAAAAATTGATTTTTATCCCCACCAAACAAGAGTTTAAACAATATTTGAATTTTGTAATAGAACAATTCTAAGTAAGCAAACAAACAAAACAAAAATCTATAAAGAAACTAATATTTTAGTTGCAGGGGCTAGTCGAATTCTCCAAAATTGGTGTATGAAAAAAAAAAAAATTAATTCATCAGTGGGCAGCGAGCATTCTCAAAATGGGTCTATCAGAATTTTTTTTTCTTTTAGAGGCCACAAGCCTTGAGGCGGTGCTATGAGGCATGCGACTCACGCAGCTGAGGAACGTAATCAAAAAATACCTTACAATTAGCACCTTAAGACGATTTTTGCACACTTCACTCTATCTTAAAGGCAGTTTACAATTTGGTTTTTAAAAACAACGGCTTTAGGCAAGCAAGTCTCAAACAAACTTTTGAAGCAAAATCATTTAGTTTACATGACATCTAACAGCTCAATTGTTTCACTATTGAACTTTATAGCACAGCATCATGCCCACAAGCATAGATCAGGTTCCAATATACAAAAAAACAAAAACTAAAAAATAAGCATTGCCCAAAATCAAACCACCACTAACAATTTTTGGATTTTGCTACTTGTACATAAAAATGGTACATAAACGATTACCAAAACTGGTGTGGAGGGAAAATATTTGATAAAAAAGTTGACCGTGTTTTAAACTGGCAAATAGTAAAGTGCCACATGAACATTATGCAAACTCTCGTGTAAATCTTAATGTACATGTAGCAAGGTCCACAAATTTTTTACCATATAAACTATCAATATATTTGGCGAAGCAGTACCATAATCAAATTCTTGACCATTCTACAAATCAATAGTTGCTGGAAATCTTCAAGTATTGGCTATAAAAGACTACAAGATACTAAAATTATTATAGGTAAATCCTTAAATGCAAAAAAGAAAATCTGATTTTCTCAGATTATTATTTTAGTTTCTTAATGTTTATTTAAAAGAGGATCTGAAATAACATGTTCATGAAGTTGAACCATTATCACAATTTTAAATATGCAAACAATAACTACTGATTTCAAAGACCAAATTAATTTGAAACCCGTGGATCCAATCACCAACTCAAATTTCTAATCCCAGTCATCCAACACAACATAAATCCGTATTCAATCTCAGTTTCAAGACTCGAATAATAATAATAATAATAATAATAATAATAATAATAATAATAATAATAATAATAATTTAAAAAAATTTTAAAAAATCATCGTAAATAATTACTTCTCAACTTCACTAATCAAATCACAATGTCACAAATAAAAAAAATCATCCAATCCCCGAACTCAAGTTTCTAATCTAAATCATCCAACAAAAAAATCCAGATTCGATCTCAGTTTAAGAATCAACCCACGTAGCCAAGCATAAAGATGATAATAAATAATAACCTCACAAAACCCGTCAAATCCCAACCCAAAAAACTCATCACCATAACACATTTCAACTAAATCAAAAAATAATAATAAACTCAACGGATCCAAACACAATAGCTTGATAAGAATTACCTCAGATTGATGAGTGTTGAAGGTTATAAAAGGGAGAATATAGTGAAAAATAGGTTAAGCCTGTGCGCCGAGCTGTCGTTGAGGAATACGTGAATGCGTGAAAGTGTGTGGTTGGAATGTGATATATATATAGAGAGAGAGAGAAACACGAGAAACCCTAGGCGTGAAGGATTAGGCATACACGATACGATATCCATACAATTCTTTTACGATGGTATATTCAATTGAGATTTTTAAAGACTTTGGGAGATTTTAAAAATTTTGGTGTATTTAATTGAGATTTTTAAAGACTCTCTTAAAATTTTGGTGTATTCAATAAAGACTTTTAAAAAGTCTCTATAAGTTACGAGGTATTCAATTAAAATTTTTTAGGAATCTCTACAAGTTTCAGGGTATTCAATTAAAAAATACTTTCGGGAAATTTATAATTTATTAGACTTTGGGAGACTTTTAGGTAGAGAAATATAAATAGAATTCTCAAAGGAAAATCTCCAATCCATCGNCCAAACACAATAGCTTGATAAGAATTACCTCAGATTGATGAGTGTTGAAGGTTATAAAAGGGAGAATATAGTGAAAAATAGGTGAAGCCTGTGCGCCGAGCTGTCGTTGAGGAATACGTGAATGCGTGAAAGTGTGTGGTTGGAATGTGATATATATAGAGAGAGAGAGAGAAACACGAGAAACCCTAGGCGTGAAGGATTAGGCATACACGATACGATATCCATACAATTCTTTTACGATGGTATATTCAATTGAGATTTTTAAAGACTTTGGTAGATTTTAAAATTTTTGGTGTATTTAATTGAGATTTTTAAAGACTCTCTTAAAATTTTGGTGTATTCAATAAAGACTTTTAAAAAGTCTCTATAAATTACGAGGTATTCAATTAAAACTTTTTAGGAGTCTCTACAAGTTTCAGGGTATTCAATTAAAAAAGACTTTCGGGGAATTTATAATTTATTAGACTTTGGGAGACTTTTAGGTAGAGAAATATAAATAGAATTCTCAAAGGAAAATCTCCAATCCATCGAGAGATTTCTCAATTGAAGTCGGCTCTTCTATTTCCTTCCAGGGTCTTCCCCATCTCCTTCAATCGGTAATAATTAAACTCTTTTCTTTATTGTGGTCTCTTGAAAGCCTCAAGCACTCTTGAAAATTCATAATCTGATATGGGTTTTTTCTATGGACTACCGAATTATGGAAAATCGAGATTTTCTCCCGTTTATTTATTTATTTAATTGTTATTTTCATTTTATTTTTGGGTTTGAGAGTAGATCTGACGTAAGAATGTTGTTTGTTGTAGACTAAAAATTGGACGAAGCAGACGCATCAAGATACTGTGTCCTGTGTGTTTGCAGATGGCGAATCTAAAAATCCTGTGGTGGATTCATAGAAGAAATGGCATTTGCCGATGCCCCAGGAAATGATGATTTTGGACATGGAGGGTCTGATTCTGACCATACCCTCTCCCTCTGGGGCTCCAATCCTGCTTGGTATGATAAGTAATCCTCGTCAATGCCATCGCAGTAGATTCATTTCAGACGCATGGAGTTTTAGGATGATGACTATGAAGATGGCAACGATAATAATAACGGTCAACTTGAGGGGATATGGAGCTGGATCCTGAATTAGATTCCCTAACAAGGAGGAGAAGCTCAGCTGCTGTTATCCAGCTCCTCGATGGCATTTTAAATAGAATGGTATCCGAGTTGGGAAATTCTGAGAGGGATCAAAGAGACACATATAGAAATGATATTAGGGATGGATAGGGTGTGATTTTGATTAATCCATTTAACCAAACTATTGTTGTTCGAGGTTATCATGATTCCAATAACGATTCTGTGAATCGTGCACCTATTGGCTTCTAGGTGATTATTACATAGGTCCTGGTTTAGAATTATTGCTACAGCATTTGGCAGAGAATGATGATATTTACTCGAGTTTAACTTTTTCAGCTAATGTAGCCTTCTACCTTGTTTTTTGGGAATATAGAGCAAAAGAAGTTGAGTCAAACCTTGTTTAGAGATTCTTCGAGAGTTATACATTCAATTTTTGTTTGCTACTGGACATTATTTCACAGACATGGAAAATATAATTTATTACTTTACATTTTCAATTATATGAGTTGTGGACGATTTGAATATGAAAGAAGTTGTTAAACACATTACATTATATATGTTTAATATTTTCTTGTTAAAAAATTAAAAGTATTCAAAAGTCTTTAAAAATTTCTAGTAAAAGTCTCCACAAATTCAGGAAAAACTTTTACTAATTCCTACAAAATCCATGGAAATCACTTAAAATTTCATAAAGTCCACAAAAGTCACCCACTTTAAAAAATCTTCAAAAGTCTTTAAAATTCCCAATTAAATACACCCCCCTTAGATTCACATTAAAAATTAAAACTTAAAAATTAAAAAATAATCACCGCCTTTCTTTTTCTCTTGTTTTTTCGAGAAGTGCTACAGAACGTTGTACGACAACTTGTACAATCCTCTCACGTATAAAAGATGGAGTACGTGATTAAAAAATTGCAAATCCCACGCTTATGAAAGGGCTATAATTTTTGTACCGAGCTGAGCATACAGGCCCAGCTCCTTACAGACCCCTTACAGAGTCTCACACGAGGTGAGGTTAGGATTTTTTTTTTTTTTTCAATTTTTATTGCCTCGGGACCCACATGAGGCCAACACATGAGAGGGGTCTATAAGACACCTGTGAAATGAAGCCCTGTACACAGGGCTTTACTGATAATTTTTACAGCCAACATGTACAAGTATCTTTTTCTTATTTTTCCCCTCTTCTTCCTCTTCGGATATTCTTTTATATACAAAAAATAAATTAAAAACTACTGTGTTTTGAAAATAAGAAAAACAAATATTTTACTAATGTTTATGTATTCTCCTCATTTAGCCCTATTTGATAGGGATTAAAACTTTAATTTAAGTAAAAATCAATAATAAATTTTCACAATATATTTTATAAGATTCACAACTTTTCAACTACATATTTTACCAACTTTTATCAAAAGATTTTAATCACAATCAGACATGGGCTTAATATTATTCAACTCTATTGAGCCTATTTTTGAGCCACAATCTAGAAAAAAATACATTATTCATATCAAATTAATGAAAAATATGTGGTTAAAAATAAAGAAAAGTTTTAGATTTACATATAATATTATTTTCTTGATAAATGTGTGATTAAAATGATGTCAAATCACCATTAAATGATTTATTTATTTATTTATTTTAAATAATGTGACTAAAACAAGCCCTAAATATATTATGCATTAATGTGTAATTACTGGTGTAATGTGATAGAATTTGATGAAAAACAAAATTGTAATTTTTGGTTTTCTTCTATTTGAGTTAACTAAAATTAAAATAAATTTGGCTATCGAAAATTAGAATAAAAATTAGTACATTTTGAAAACACATTTAGGTCCTGGTTACATATTCATGGCTCACTTGACATGACTTTTAAAAAGTTAAAAGAAGATTTTGTGATCCAAAAGCTGCTTTGGAGAAAGTTCTTTGGATAGTTATAAGATATTTTAGAGGAATGTTGTCGAATGTGACTTCACTTAAAAAACACTTTCAAAGTAATAAATACTTTTAAAAATTAGTTTTCAAACAAAAATTAAGGTAGATTTTTCCAGAAACTCTTCAACAGCAAGCAAAAGTCATATCAAACGAGCTCCCTTAATATAGATTTGACCTAACCTCCAGACAAATAAGGCTTTTAAAATTTTCATTTCAGGTAATTTTATTGATAGAATATCCACATCAATTTTTTTTTTCCAGTCGATAAAAGACTATTTAAAAATTTTAACATATAGGCAAAAATTTATCACTAAATCAGTGATAAAAAGGGTTAAATTCACTCATAGTCGGCCTACCTTATATTTAGTGTCATCATGACCAATGAACTTTATATTTAGTGTCATTATGGTCATCCAATTTCTTTTAATCATTTTCACTAATTTTAAAAGAGGTAAAACAGTAAGTTTGCATTATATAATCTAAAATAAATTAAAAAATAAAGATAAAAATAAAAACTTATTTAAAAAACTTCAGAGCGCAAAACTAGCAAAGCGAGCAAGTTTTGAAAGGAGGGAACTAAACCTTTTTGGAGTGAACCATAGTGGATTGTGTTCTCGCTTCGTGTGCTTTAATCACTGACACTCAATGGAAGGATAAGCAAACCTGGCCAAAGAATCATTTACTTAAAAAATAAAATAAATAAAAACTATTTTTTTTAAAAAAAGTTTTTAAAATAAAATAAAAACACATTTAAAAAAAAAAACTTACTTAGAAAAATAAAATGAAATAAAAAATTATTTTAAAAAAAGTTCCTTCAAAAAAATAAATAAATAAAATATTGTAAAAAATGTTATTTAGAAAAAAAAATAAAAATAAAAACTTATTTTTTAAAAAAAAATTAAATAAAAAGTTTTTATTCTTAAATTTTTATTTTTTATATATAATGTAAAGTTACCATTTTACTCCTTTTAAAATTAGCGAAAATGGTGAAAAAAAAGTTTGGTGACCATAGTAAAAATGTTATATGAAATTGAATGATAATGGTGAAATAAAATCAAATTAAGTGGTCATTGTAATAATAAGTAAATATTTGGATGGTCATATTGAAATAAAATCAAATTGGGTAGCTATGGCGATACTAAGTATAAATTTGGATGACTATTGACTGATTTAACCCTATAAAAATATATGATACTGACTAAAAAATCCATAAGTAACAAAATAATAACAATCTTACTACATGTACATCCTAATTTACAATTTCACTTGTAGAATTCACATTATCTTTCAAATCTTATACATTTAATTCAACCATCACAATTTTGACGCGTCACCCATCTATCAACAAGAGTGTCAAATTTAATGTACAAATAGCTTACTTCAATTAATAAGTTAGATTAATAATGAGTTTTTATCCATGACAAATCTTAAAAATATCTCAACAAATTTAATTTATCAGATAAAGTAATTAAAATATTAGTTCAAAAAAATTTATGTGGTTAACTAAAAAGTTAAAATATATTTAAGATTGCTAAATGGTAGTCTTAAAATATAATTAATTAAATTTTCCGACAAACTATTCAACATTATTGCAGTAATGGAAAATGCAAACAAAAAATAATAAAATATATAAACTTGGTGGTTGTTTAAAACAAATAAAAAGAACAAAGGTTTGTCGGTGATAACAATCATTTTCGTCAGTAATCGAAACACCATCAGTGATGAAGACGTCGTCGACAACATTATAATTGATCATTGTTATGCTTCAATCACAAACTTATCTCATTATATATATATATATAATTTGAGGATAAATTGAAAATATATTTTTATCTTCTTTTGTCATCGCACAATATTGATTAGTGAGCTAATTGTTCTATTGGCCACTGAACTTATATCTATATCTTCAATTACTCACTAAAATTTAAGATATTAAGTTTTAACCACTAAATTTTGAAGAACGTTGGATATCACTCACTGCTAGGCCTGGACAAAATTCTCAAATTGTATCGAACCAGTTCGAAGTGAACTAAACCGAGTAATTTTTCTTAAATTAAATATCCGAACAGATATCTGAATCAAGAACGGACGAGTTTGGTTCGATTCTCAATCTAGATCAAGTGTCGTATCCCCTTAATTTTTTATTTATTTATTTTAAATAAGTCAAATTATTTTATTTATTTTTAAATAAATTTGCTAACTAATTAATTTAACTTAAACCCAAAAATATGATTTTCCTATTTTTGATTGGGTTATGCTACATGTACATTATGGTGTTCATAAGGGTGTCCGTAATATACACGTGGAATTTCATGATTGAAGGGTTGATAAACAGTAGAATTTTCAACTCGTGTATATTATAGACATCCTTATGGACATCATAATGTATATGTAGAATTTTCCTTTTTAATTTCCAATCTAAATCCAACTAAATTAAATTGATCTAAATTTTACCTAAATCTATTATTCTACCGTAGTATCGTTTTTATCGTTTTGAAGAAATCGAATTGAAACTCGATTGCGTTTTGAGCTAGCTATCTTTTTTTTTATGTGATTTTAACAATCAAATCTATGAAAAACTCAACAAAGAGGGACAAAATATGCATAAATTGGATTACGTTATTTTATAAGAGCATCTCCAAGAGATTCATTATTTTTAAAGAGTATTTTTTGTGATTTGGAGAACATCTATAAATTTAGAGATTTAAAGTCTTAAAGCATTTCAGCAAACTCTTTATATTTAACAATTAATTTTATTACTCTCAAAAAATATTTTTTATTTTTCTCAATTTTTTATTTTGACTAATTTTTCTCAAGATTATTTTATTATTTTTCTACATTAAAAATTGAAACACTTTGAATGCATTTTATTATAGATAGCGAGTTTAGAGAGTCAAACACACTCTCTAAATTAAAATGTTAATTTAAAAAGTCTCTTGGAGCATTATTTTAAAAGTTAACTTTTTAAAATAGAGAACATTTCATGTTTAAAGAATTCTTAGAAATACTTTAGAGTTAAGATTGAATACGTCATTAATTGAATTAATGTAGTTTCGTAAATATTAAAAATTTTAATTATAGTACGGAACTCGAAAAGCAAATAAAATCAAACCGAAACGAATGTAACAAAACTCAAACAGTTCTATAATTAAATTTGAACTCCAACAGTTCCACTTACTAAATATGGGTTCGATTCAGTTATCTTTAGAATCGAAACTAAGCAAACCGAACCATTTTCTAGCCCTAGGTGTAACATCTGTTTAAAACATCTTATGGAATTGATAACGTGGTTAACGGAATACACACGTGGTGCCCTGTCACGTCGTTAAACTTTGAAATTGTCGAATTTTGATTACTAAACTTTGAGAAATGACTTCAATTATACACTAAATTATGAAAAACGTCTTTTATTGCTCACTAAACTTTGAGATGATTGATTTTTGGCCACTAAACAATGAAAAATATCTTCGATTGCTCAACAAACTTTGAAAAAGTCTTCTATTGCTCATTAAACCTTGAGGTGATTGAATTTTGGTCACTAAACTTTGAGATGGTCGAATTTTGGCAATTAAAGTTTAAAAAACGTCTTCTATTTCTCACAATAATTTTAGATTTAATTTAAATTCATTATTAAAATTTGAATTTAATTTAATTCTAATTATTGTATGTTTTGTTGTAAAATTCAAATATTAAAGTTTAGATTTATTTAATTTTAATAATAAATTTATTGTGTATTTCTTTTCAATTATTAGTCACATCATTTGCACAATTTTGCAAGCGTTGTCTATCGTAATATTTAAATTTTATAATGAAATATACAATAATTTTATTATTAAATTAAGTTGAATTAAATCTAAATTATAATATTTGAAGTTTCCAACGAAACAAAAATAAGCATTTGTTTGGTGAGGATTAGAATAAGACTTTTAGTATATTTTGATAAAAATTGATGGAATGTATGATTAAAAAGTCGTAGATCCCATAAAATACGTGGTTAAAATTAACTATTGAATTTGAGTTTGATAAAAATGTAAATTTAATTTCTATCAAACACGAGTTAAATTTATTGTTAGAATTAAATTAAATTCAAATTTAACAACGAAACTTAAATAAATCCAAATTTACTGTGAGCAATAGAAAATAGTTTTCAAAATATATTGGCTAAAATTCCACAATCTCAAAGTTTAATAGTCAAAACCCGACCACCCAAAAGTTTAGTGAGTAATAGAATGTGTCTTTCAAAGTTTAGTGAGCAACCAGAAACAATTTTCAAAATTTAGTAATCAAAATTAAACCATCTCAAAGTTCAGCTGCCAAAATTCAACTACCTTAAAGTTTTGTGAGCAATAAAGATGTTTTTCAAAATTTAGTGCACACTTGAAAAGGTTTTCCAAATTTTAGCAATCAAAATTCCACTATCTCAAAGTTTAACGACGTGACAAGTAAAACGTGCATTCCATCAATCATGTCACCAATTCCGTTAAAGGTTTTAAAACGAATGTTATACCAATGAGTAACATCGAACGTTTTTCAATATTTAGTGACCAAAACTCAACACTTAAAACGTAGTGACATCTTAAAATTTAGCGAATAAATAAAGACAGATACATAAGTTCGCCTACCATTGGAAAAATTAACTCGTCAAATGTTGACATCATGATTTATTGTTTTCACTTTAGGGCTGATAAAAATATTTCTGAAGGATTGAATGGTTTTGTACTTTTGAGTTACAAACAAACAAACAGATACAGAAAACATCTTTTCTCGAAGAAGCAGCAATAACAGTATCCAAGAAAATAAGTATTGCTAACTCCGTACCAGCAACCGCATTATATGACTCCTTTTGGAAAACAAAGTATAAACAATACCAACAAGCCAAGAAAATAAAATTTACTCGATAGCAAAACTACCGATTTTGAAACAAACAAGAAAATAATCCACACCAGCATTAATAACAATCACACGACGGTACCATGTTCATAACAATTATTAGACACTCGAAAATATATTAAAACCATAGTTTCTCACGAATGCTGCATATAGTAGACGTCTGGACATAATGTCTTGAAACTTATTGCAAGTACAAACTAGCTTTTCCTCAAGAAAACGCATGATCATAAAGTGGGAGCCAAACGTGATCTTTATACGATAAAGTCACGAAAGCTGTAAATCTTCATAAGCCTATTCGATTGGGCAATTTCCATCGCTGTATGTGACCTCCAGAAGGGAAAAGAAAACACCATCAGAATATTGAATTTTCCAAGTAACATGTGGATGGAGCAAGGATTTTGAGCATGTCTGGCTAAGCTTAAAAGTAGAAATACTTCTACAAGCTTATTTTGGATCTAGAAAACAAAATGCTTAGCCAAACACACTCTTAAATAACAGCACGAGTCATATGTAGAATATGTTTCATGTTACTAACCTTAATAAATTCCTTCAAATTTTTTGGATGACATCGTCTGAGGCACGGTGAAGCGCGAGCCCTCGCGCTCTGGTGCAGGTGCCTCCCACTCCACTCCTGCACCATAATTGGTCAAGTTGGCTGATTGCTATTCAGAATCATCGTAAATTTCTCCATCATCAGAAAGATCATCGTAAGCTCGGACATCCAACTGGTAACGGAGGATTCCTCCAATTCCTCCAAAACCCCTGCAAAACTGAGATCCCTCTTGTGATTTGTTTGTTACAAACTCGAGTGTGCAACCGAATCGCTTATACTCTTCAGCGAACCATTCGAGCAGTGACCTCTTATCCTGAGTTTCCATTTCTGCATTCGTGACCGGATCTCGGAAGTTGCTTTGATTGGACTCCTGCTCCTTGTTCATGTGCTTTATGACAACTTCACCGGTCGAGCTATTCTTAAGAACGTACCTAGTCATATCCAGATTTTCCCACACAATAAGAGTTTCAACAGCACCCATTTCAAGAACTTTCAATGTATCATCAACACCAAAAACATACTTGCCAGTATCCTGACTAATCTCCTCAAAGTACTTGCCTATTAACTTCTTCTCTTGTATAAATTTCACATTGGATAGGATCTCAGCAGAAAGTTCAATCGCCTGGTTGAAGCCATTTTCACCTCCATATGAAACATCTGCTACATTCAAAATCTTCGCTTGAAGGCGAGGATCAAACATATCAGACTGACTTAGCTCGGTCTTGAAATCAGCGGATCCAGCAAGAATTAGTCCTGACACATTCGGTTGGCTGGTCTGAGGATTGATGAAAAATTGGGTGGCAAGCTCTGCCGTCTTCCTTACATAGTTGTGGCGCTTCTCCATTCGCAGACGAGCAAACCGCAAAGCTGATTGTCCTCCTCTTCCATGTTTCTTAGGAAGGTCCACAGTGAATTTATGAAGAATCTCTCTGGTATTGCCACTCAATGTCCCAAAAAGCGTCCCATTCCCATCCATAACAATAAAGCCAAACTTGTCATCAGACTCTAAAAGTTCATTCAGCGCTTCAGTGTGGAACTTGTTGTCACAGAGGTAGAGTGAAGCGTTGATAGGCCTAAACGGCTCAAAGTCAATTGTGACTTTCTTTTCCTTTCCATCTTCAGTAACAATGGTTCCAGTGTAGAGCACGAGTCCATTTGGAGGCACTTTATTGTATAATTTCAGTCTCTGTTGAGCAGATGTAATTGCACCCAGAACAGACTGACGATTCACTCTGCTTTTGATGTTAGATGCAGTTCCGAATTCATCTCCAAGCATTTTGGTAACACGAGCTATTTGATCACGTGGAGGCATGATGAGAGAAATCATACTGGTACCATTGCCTCGTGCAGCTTCTAGTGCCTTGATAAGCTTCTTGATTTTCCATATCTCGATGTTCTTATCAGTTTCATGACCATCAGCCATTGCTTTGAATTATAAGAATAAGCTGCAAAAAGTTTTGAAAAGAAATGCAAGGAAAAATATTAATGGGGACACTTCAAAAAAAATAAAAAATAAATAAAAAAAATACACAACTGGAAGAGACAACAGCAGATACCATCCAAAAAGCAAACAGATGCATACAAAATATTAAATACTAGCAAATATTATGCCACGGAGTCAAATTTTAATATGTGGCCTGAGAGCAGAAAGTCGTACGCCATATGCAATCATTAGAGAAAGCATATCTAGTTCAATTATCCAAACCATAGATATTTCAATCCGTGCCTTGATCAGTTAAAAAATAAAACAACTTAATAAACAACGCTAAGCTCTTCAAGGATATACCCACTCATGTTTAAGAAAAAGAGAGTACAGAGGACTGAAACTAAAAAAACACAAATCCATAAAATAAATACAGGAAAAGTAGAGAATTACCGAATTGGCCATAGATAAAAACACAGAACTTTTGTTGTCAAGAACTAGTAGTCAAATGTTAGCGAAATGTTTCTATATGTCTGCAGTTTGAAGACAAACGCTTGCATATATTCAGATAACGAAACAAAATAATCAGTAGAGCCTTCCATCGAAGAATCTGCAGTTCTTGAATGCACTTTCAAATTCTTTAATTGCCATGTCATGCAACTTAAAACTTGCCAACTAGGATGTAGCAAAATTATCCCGTAAATGCACAGCTACTCCACTTAATAAAATTTATGGAACAATCATCACCTCGAAAAGGAAAAGGAAGAGAACAACAATGGGACCAAAATGACAAGAAGGACTATGTATCAGAACAGTACAAAGTGCAAAGTAATAAATCCAGCCCAATGGACATTTGAATGCTAAACATTGTCCACTTTAATGAAAACTATACAACCGAGTATCTCTTGTGAAATTTTCCCAACAGTTCTGTGTTCATCAGTCTTCCCAGGCATTTTAAAGAAAAACATATTAATAAATTGTATTGTTTATCAATTATTATCCAATAAAATAAACAGTGTTTCTTTGCATCGAACTACTTTATTGACGAATCCAACCGTCAGACCCACTTTTAAACCTCTGCAAAAGTTTGTGCATTGAAAAAACAAAACAAAAAAACAAAAACAAAACAAAACAAAATTTTATGGAGAATCTTCATTCGTGTAAATATGAGATGTGCAAACAATTGACCAAGTTTCAACCCCACAAGAATTTGAATTCATATCCCTATAATTATTTTCACGATTTTCATATATTCTTAGGAATCAAAACACACAGGTTAAAAACGTGCATCCTAAGTATTAAAGAGGAACTGGAGTTAACTAAAAATTCACAAAAATGAATCAAAAACAGGAGACAACAAATAGGGTTCTTGGTGATTTCCTTTATTAGATCTTATCATCCAATCAACATATGAAAAATAAAAAAGCCGCAAATAAATGGTTAAATCAGTTGATAATTCACATTGGAAGACACGCAAAACTGTTGATAAATCAATAAACATACATAAAAGACAGAAAACATACCGATCTATCAAAATTTCGTATACAAAAAATTTAAAAAAATAAAAAAGAATCATATTATCGAATTTGAATGGTTTATTTCTAGATAATTAAAGCATTAATACAGGAAAAAATCGACGTACCTTTGAGGATGATGACAGAAAAATAAAAGCAACTCGCCGTCGGAAATGTACGTGTTTCTATATAGAAGAGAGAGGGAGAGAGAGGGAGAGAGAGGCAAAAAGTGGTTGATTCCAGTACAGACACTTCAGATTTTTTTTCCACGGCAAGGGTTATGTTTGGCTCATCTTATACAGTTTACGCACACGAGTTACTTAAGTGAACGAGAAGTTTCGAAATAAATTAATTGATCTGATTTTATTATTTTTAAACTAAGACATTCGAGAAAGTATGAATAATTTCAAAATAAAAAAATGTGAGTAAATAGAAAATTATAGAAAATAATAATAATAATAATAATAATTCAAGGATTAAATGAGGAATCTGGAACTTTCTATTTATATATAGGATTTGCTAGAGTAGATTTGAAAAGTTCTAGACCAAATTGCAATTTTCCAATTTTTTGAAAACTATAGTGTAAATATTAAAATTTTGAAATTAGACGGTAATAGTTATTTATGAATCAAGTTATAGTAAGAGGAAATTGTAAAAATGTCAACTTTTATACGATCATTTGCAAAAATGTTCAAAATTTGTTCAATACCCATTTTACTATAATTTAGACCAAAATGCTCTCATTAGCAATTTTAAATTCCACGACGAGGACATGAATTTCATAATAATAGTCAATAATTACTTGACACATAACGTATACTACTATTAAAAAAGTACCACGTCAATCATGCATTAAATACTCATTTCTCCCCATAAGTGGTTAAAAAATTATTTAAGAAATATTCAAAATTATTCTTAAAATGTCAAGAACCTTAAAAATGACGAAAACTTCTATGTTCGGAACGAAATCTACTCTAGACAAATGAAATGTCAAGTGTCCCAATAAATAAGGTCCAAATGTCGATAACAACTTATAAAATATTGAAAACGTAATAAAATGTAAATAACAACAGCTATTAAACAAAACTTATCAATAAAAACAAGATTTCAAAAAAATTTACCTTCTATTGACAATTGTATAGAGGGCCTAATCAACTCGCAAATTTGAATAAGATTAAATTTCTTGAAATGAAATTATATGGGTTTCTTATAAATTGGAAACATTTAGCCTTTTTTTTTTCTTTTCTTTTTTTTTTTTTAGCGTTAATGGTTTTTGGCTTGTACTTGGTGTCCATAATTTGGGTATATGGGGGTGTCTACACCCCCTCACATTGGGTGGGATCCGTGAGAGGTGGGCTGCACCCCATGTGAAGGTGTGGACACCCCTATATACATATTTTATGTACACTAAAACTTATCCACAGTTTTTTCTATATCATCCTTATCATTTTTTTTTTCAAAATTATTGGTCATTATCCAATAAATCCATTAAGTACTAGCTAGGCATTGAAACTATTTTTTTTCCTTGAAATTCGTGACAATTTAAAAAAAAAATTTGCTTCATTTTTTTATTAAAGTTATGATAGACAACTTGGTATCAAATTTGGTCATTTTGTAAGGGTTATTAACATTAGACGCTTTTCAATTGATAAGCAAGAAATTTGACATTTTTGTAAATTCACAGTGTTTGAAGTCCCTTTTTTTTTTCTTTTTATTAAATAGAAACTTTGATTGATTTGTACAAATGTTGACTATTCTCATCAATAAAGATACTTGGTTGGCTAAAATTTTGTCTAATGGATATATAGTTGGAGAGATGAAAAAACCAATAAGAGGAAATTTCATTGGGTATCAAAAATTGGGTTTGCTTTATCAAAATTATCACCTTTTAAATTTGCTATCAAAAATATCAATTTATGACATTTTTGCCCCTCTGAAATATTTGAATACCAAACTTGTGTTATGTTTATTGTGTCAGAATTGAAAATCTGAATTGACGCGAGACGAAAGAAAATGCAATTGCAAACCTAATTTTTCCAATTTTTACTTCTCCATTTCCCTCTCGTCTCTGCCTTTCACATTCTCACGCCCACCGCGTTTGTGTCACTCGTCGGCTCCCTTATTTTCTGGTCAAATCGCCTCATCGATCGTCGGTGAGATCACTCATCCTTGCTGCCTCTAGACACCGGCTTTGAAGATTTTGGAAATCTGTGGTTCAGTTTTTTCTTGCCGCCGATGCTGACCCACAGCCTCTCCGGTCTCTGCCACTGGCCCACTGCACCGTCTCTATGACAACAGACTCCGTGAGTCCGTGACTCGTGAGCCTCCTGCCTCTCTCTCTCTCTCTCTGTATTTTTTGTTTTTTTTTGCGATTTTTGTTCCTTTATTTCATTTTTTGACTTATCATTTATGAGTTATGATTGATGTTTTATTTTCACTTTTCTGTGATATGTGGAATGCGTTTTGCATATATCTATTACACATTTATGATTGACAAACAATTTTGAAGCAAGTGCAATTAAGTGGTTAAAAAAGTTTCACATGGTATTTGGATTTCGAATTTCAATTTTCAGTGTTATGAAATGCTTTCTAAAATAATTCAGTATTCTTACTGATCCCTACTAAACTTATCTTCAGTTGGTCATGATATGTTGCTTAATCGTCGATAAAATCATTGTTTGATTCTCTATTAGGATGTAAAGATAATATTCATAAAGTGTATCTTGATGAAACTGTTGTATTTCTTTTAATGTTTTAATAGGTGATGGTGACTGGGTCTTGTTCACTTCTAAATACACTGCATTTACGTATGGCTGTGTGCTCGTTAAACTTCGTCTATATAAGTAGTTGAGAAAAGGAGAAAGATTAAGTGGGGTGTCCTCAATATAGAGTTTGATGGATTTTAAAACTCCATATAAATTGAGGTGTCCTCGATTACTAGTTGATTTAAAAGGATTTCGTTAATTAGATAGAATTTGATGGATTTTGAAAGATTTCAAGCCATAAATATAAATACAAAAAATGTGGAACACTTTTATCCCAATCGAGGACATACAATTCATTACCTCTGTTTTTGAATCAAAATTGTGCAAACCGACATTTCTTCTTTGGCTCTTCCGTTCCTTAAGAATGTGTCTTTGACACTTCTTGCATGGCAACGTCTGACATAATGTACTCCCTCACTTAAGGATTTTTCAGTTCAGACTCGTGTATGTAACATATTATATATGGATCAATACAATCATTTTTCTTTAATTGGTTTTGAATGCCACAAGTATGGTTTATTTTTTATCTCCTTTTGCTCTCAATTGTCTTGTACTGTCAATTTTAATCCCTTATATTGTGTTTGCAAGAGGCGATGATGTAATTCAGAGGGATGATAAAATTAGCTTGTCATTGTTGAAGAATTTGAGAGAGCATTGCACAAGGTAATTATTAAATCTGAATACACGAGTCTGTCGCAAATTAAAAAATTTCCCTGTAGTCATGTGGAATATAGGTTTTTACCAATTAGAGTTCTCCATTTCCATTCGGTCATAGTTTCAATTTTCTAGTTGCTGATAACTTATTCTTTTTAACCCCTCAAACTCTTGCAAATCTCAGCCATCTGAAGCAGAGCGTTTTGTTCTAACATGCTAAGAAAGAATGATTTTTATATTTTATATGCTTGTTTATTTATTAATCTTTTGACTATTTGTTGACAACTGTAGCATAATCAATATATACTTAATTTCGTGTCACTGAAAGTACCAAGCAGATTATGTTTCTTATTGGTATAATATTAGTTAGGGAGCAATCGATACCTTTCAGTGGTCGACTTATTTGTACAGTGTCCGAAGTTCATTTGTTGTTCTGATGGCACCAATAAGTCTGGGGTTATCTTAAGGATCTAACAGTAATATGTCAGTGTCAGTGCTTTATCTGCTACTGGTCCTTTCTTTCCCCCATATGTTGTTTTTCACACTTAGTTTATTTGTTGAGGCCAGGCCATATGATTTGATGATAAAGAAATTTAGATAGACAGATTCACATATTTGGCCACTATGAAATAAAAGGACGGTTTACATGGTTTTTCCTCTATTTATTAATATATACTGTGTAATAGTTGTGATACTTATCTGTTTATTATGGCCTTTTGGGATTTGATGTTATTGACTGCTAACTTATCGGATTAATATTGTACTTATTTCATGCGCATAAACGTGAGTATGGTATTGAAGTTCCTAGCTTTAGGTAAACAAAACTGGAAGTTGAGGATTTGTTATTTTTTGTTTAGTTGTGTTTGATTTACGTATAGTTTTCTTGGCAATGGTCATTTTTTAATGTATTGACTCATCAAACTCATCAAAAGGAGTAGTTTCTTTTGATGTATAATTTTTTGTAACCAGCCTGGAGATTGAACAATATTTTTAGAGGTTTTATGGCTTGAACAAGGTTTGAACGTTTGTAATGCATAATTTCTTGTTTCCTGGAAGAATAACCAATTCTTTTAGAGCTTTTATGGCATGAACAAGATTTATACTTTTATGACATTCATTTGCAAATGTCACTGCAGTATCAGAGCAAGCAAGTTGATGAACTCTCTCGCAACCTGGCGAGCATAGAAATTTCAACGTTTTTCCATTCTCCAGATATTCTTTGTTGCCTCCTCAAGCTCAGGAGAGGTATGTTTGATACATTTTTATCGCAATTATAATACTTATCTTTCTGTACAATTTTATGTAAAGTACTATTAAGAAATTTTTACTTTGTTGTTTTATGATACAATATTAGACTTATAATAATTAGAAATACTTATAAATTTAGGTGTCCTCGATTATTAGTTGATTTAAAAGGATTTCGTTAATTAGATAGAATTTGATGGATTTTGAAAGATTTCAAGCCATAAATATAAATACAAAAAATGTGGAACACTTTTATCCCAACCCTAAAAATTTGAAGACTTTTCTCGCTTCTCTACAGATTTGTCGCCCTCTCTCCCTCTCCCTTCCCCCCACAGTCGCTATTTGTCAAGTAAGGTGGAATGACGTAAATTGATTACACATGAATAAGCTCTTTGACAATGACATAACTTTTGAATTTCAGAAGTTTTGAGTGTTTACAGTTGGAAATGTGAGTTGATTAATTTACATTTTCCAGGCACAGTGGCCAATGTGAAATTGGCGTAGAAGGAGGCTCAAGGTGTTGCTGAGAAGAGGAAAGGAAGAAGAGGGCAGGGAATTGCGTGAGTGCTTCGAGCTATTTTGTGCTTCCTAATATTAGATATGTTTTGCTTACTATA